CCTGGGAAAAATCAAAGTGGAAATTTGAAAACAACCTAATGAATGACAATTTCCCCTTAGGATAAACCAATGAACACTTTATCGACAGCATTTTCAATGTTCTCTAAACTTTTGTTTGTTGAAGTGACCCCCGACCCCAAAGTATCAATACCCGAACATGTAAATTTTTATCATAAACCATCTTGGCTTTACACTGCTGGATCACTGATATGAATACCAGTAACAGGCACTACACATGGTAAGACTTGAAGCAGTTACGTTCCTCAACAAAGCAGAGTCTCACGTTGCATTTTTCACACAAGGTGTTAGTATTGTTCACTGCGCAAAGTTTACATCTGCCCCGCTTCTGCACTTTCACTGGCCAGTGGGCATATGCATCTTTCCTGACATCATCCACGGGTCCCTTGCGCACTTTTCTGGGCTGAGGTTTCACGATGACATCACGGACATCTTCTAGTGATGGTCTTCCACGAGGTCTGGCAACCATCCTCCCCACTAGCGCAGAGGCAACATGAGACTGAAACACCTGGCGCTTCATCATTGACTTCTCTGGCAGTTGAAGTAGTTTGTACTCACGGCGGTACACCAACCACGCATTCACGATGGCCATCATGAGGGTGTGCCAAAACAGGTACATGTACCAGCGCCGTGACTTCAGCCGAAACCTGTACTTGGCCAGGTAGCTGTCCATCAAGTCAATGCCGCCCATGAATTTATTATACGCCTTGATGATGGCTGGGCGTTCAACTTCCCGATGGTCTTTTACGGCAGAGTCCCATCGGCGAACGGTGTCAGTCGGCTCAATACCTGTGTACGTCGACAGGAGAGTTACAGCTTTGTTGTCAAGCCACCTTACTGCTATGATGTTGTGGCTGTCTTCAACGCAATGGTCATATGCTCCCCTTCCCTCCTTGCGCAGCTTCTTTTCATCTTCAAGCCTGCAGCCAGAGATTCTATTCTTGCGAACTGTGCCAACATAGTGCATTCCCAGTTCCTTGATTTTTACAAGGAGGGGAACACCAGTGAATAGGTTGTCAGCGAATATCTTGTAGTTGACGTGATG